CCATAGCAGAGAGCTGGATTGGAAGAGGAGCAGCTGGGACTTGAACTGGCACCCATATGGGATGCAGGCACCACAGGAGGTGGCTTTGCCCTGTCTGCCACAGCACCAGTCCCCATCCATTCTTTTCTTTTGTATTTCAAAACACACACACACACACACACACACACAAAATAGCAGAAAGTCCAGCCCATTTTCTGGGAAACAACAAAACATTGCTGTGTACACAGTACACATGGTGTGCGTTTGACAACAAATGTCGGGGTTTCCACCGGGCTTCCTGTGTGTCAAGCGGCTGTAGCTGATTAGACTTGTTGACAAGCAGGATTTCAAGCCTCTCTTGGGCAGGGCCTTGGTACCATTTGGAAAGCAGGATCATGTGTCTCCAATGTCTTTTCAGTGAGAACATTCAATAAGCACCTTTTTTCATGTGAAAGGCCGCATCCCACATCGCAACCCAGCCGGGAGCAAGCATTCTGCCTGGAGGCTGCAGAGAGGGGAACAAGCTGCCTGGCTGCTTACCCAGTCACACACCAACTTAAAACTCACACAACAGGGGCAGGCACTGTGGCATTACAGGTGCTGGCATCCCATATGGTGCTGGTTCAAGTCTCAGCTGCTCTGCTCCCAATCCAGCTACCTGCTAATACGCCTGGGAAAGCAGCGGAGGATGGCCCAAGTGCTTGGGCCCCTGTCACCCTTATGGGAGACCCAGATGAAGCTCCTGGTTCCTGGCTTCAGAACAGCCCAGCTCTGGCCATTGGGAAGTGAACCAATGAATGGAAGATTCTCTTTCTCTCTTGCTCACTCACTCTCTAACTCTGCTTTTCAAATAAATAAATATATATCTTTTAAAAAAAAAAGCTTCACACAATGGTTACCACCCCCCCTTGAAGAAAAAAGGCCTGTTCTCCATCGAGCTCTGTGTACTTCTGTGTTCAGCCACAATCCTGAAGCAGAGAGAAACACAAGGCCATCTGATCTCTCTTCTCGGAAGCGGAAAGCCGACACAACTTTTCTAGCTCACAGCTGAGCTGTTTTCCACTGCACCACACAAGCGTCTGTGCTCCTTGGGCCTTCCTTCTGGTGCTACACAATCTTTAGATAGTTCTCCCACTACACTTCTGATTACTCTGCCTTTTCCTCTTGTCCATTCAAACCCACTTCCCTACTCCATTCTAGGCCTTCTAAGTGCCTTCCCCCATCTCTACAGCTCTGTCTATCCTTCCTCCTGCTCTAAGGTAAGATAAAATTCCCTGAACTCACAGACCACTTACCTCTTAGATACTGCTTAACAGACAATTAATATATCCTCTTGGCTGACTTTCTAATATGCAAAAGAAGAAGGTTTGTAATAAACTCCAGTTGAATCTTAAACTTTTCCTACAAGATACTTATCAAGGAGTAATTAGAAAAGCTTAGCAGTCTGCCGGCACCGGGGCTCACTAGGCTAATCCTCCGCCTGTGGCGCCAGCACTCCGGGTTCTAGTCCCGGTTGGGGCGCCGGTTCTGTCCCGGTTGCCCCTCCCAGGCCAGCTCTCTGCTGTTGCCCGGGAAGGCAGTGGAGGATGGCCCAAGTGCTTGAACCCTGCACCCCATGGGAGACCAGGAGAAGCACCTGGCTTCTGGCTTCGGATTGGCGCAGCGCGCCAGCAGTAGCGGCCATTTTGGGGGTGAACCAACGGAAGGAAGACCTTTCTCTCTGTCTCTCTCTCTTTCTCACTGTCTAACTTTGCCTGTCAAAAAAAAAAAAAAAAAAAGCTTAGCAGTGAGTTCAATGACAACAGATGGCCGCACTGCTGATTATTCTAATACCCTGGTGTTTGGGAGATGCTTGTTTTAGGTAACTGAATTCTTACATATTTTAGATAGAACAACTGGGGCTTTCTTCTTAGGAAGATACTGTGGTAAGTATACCCAGGGAAAGAAGCTTTATACTTTTTAACTTTTAAAAATAATTTATTTGAGAGGCAGAGAAGCATACAGTGATCCCCTACCTGCTGGTTTGCTTCCCTGGTGCAGAGAATGGGGACGAACTTGGGAACCAGGAACTCAATCCAGGTCTCCCATGTGAGTGGCAGGGACCTGAGTCCCTGGGTCATCACCTGCCCTCCCAGGGTGCACATTAGCAGGCAGCTGAAATTGGGAATGGAACCAGATACAGACCCAGACACTCCAACATGGAAGGCAAGTGTCCCGACTGGTGGCTTAACCATTGCACCAAACACCTGCCTCATATGCTATGATCCACATCAATTATCAGAACTGTGCTGACTGCTGCTTCATAACATTCTCTGTCTCTCTCTCCCTCCCTCCCTCCCACCCTCTCTCTCTCCCTCTCTTCCTCTCTCCCTTCTTTCTTTCTCTCTCAATCCCCCTCCTTACACACATCCTTCTTTTTTGTTCCTACCTTTGGGAACAACTTAAAGATTACCTATTCCATTTCAGATGAGGAAATCTAACCCAGAAAACATGGGGGGAAAAAAATCACTCTTACAGAAGAGGAATGAGCTGAGGCTAAAGTGCAAATCTGTTATCCAAAGAAGTCAGGAGCCAGAAGTCTGAAAAACCTTATTCCACATCAGTCCAGTTTCATTTCCCTGTCCCCAAACTTCCTGTCTTCCACTAGAACCCTCTGTCTAACCACCACGGAACTTCCCCAGGTCCCTGACACCAAACTGTCTTCCCGCCATTAACCAATTCCCCAATGTTGCTCCACCTCAATCCTACAACTTCTCTTATTTACCAGACAATTTCATCATTTACTCCCGTGCTTCTCTTACCCAGTGCCACACCTGGCAGAATCACACCGCTCCTACATTGTAACCCCTTCTGAAACTGTTCTAGATAAAGCCATACATGAAGCTAACAACCATGACTGCGGCCCCAAAGAGCACGGCAGCCTCTTCTATCTCATGCTATCTACTATACACGCTTGAACAAGTTCTCTTTAAGCAGGCAGGTGGAGCTGGGCATTCGGTGCAGCAGTTGAAGACATCACCTGCATTCCATGTCAGAGTGCCTGGGTTCAAGTCCTAGCTCCACTCTCAACCCCAGTTTCCTGCCAATGTGCACCTAGGGAGGCAGCAGGTGACATCTCAAGTATTGGGTCCCTGCCACCCTGTGGGAGACCTGGATAGAGTCCCCACCTCCCAGCCTTGGCCTGGCCCACACCTCTGGTGCGGATTGTTTCCCAAGAAATCAGTGTACAGTCCCTACAGTGTACAGACGTGAACCTCTCTCAACCAGGGATCCCCATTATGAAACCTACCACATATGGTGGGAAATGTCTCAGTGCCTTAGAACATAAGGCCTGGGAAACCACAAAACATCTTGTTTGTCTACCTGTAACCCAGGACTGGGATTGGGGCGGGGGATGTGGGGGAAGGGGTTAGACCACCTACCACAGAGAAAAAAGGAGCAAATTCTACTAAACCAGATGTGTGGTCTTGGCACAGGGCTCACAGTACAATGCAGAACTCGTGGAGCCGTCCCAACCCACTGCATTAAGCTCTCCTCCCTTTCTTTCTTAATTTCACACCAATCAGGATCCTAGAAATGACATGTATGACCTTCTCAAGGTCATCAATAAGCTACCACTTAGTAGTAAGCCTTTGTCTTACTGCCTATCTCGGGGTACTAACCCTCCTACGGCAGGTTCAGCTGCCTGATCTGAAATTTCTGAGCACTGCCGTGATGCTCAGAAGGCTGTGGATTTTACAGCATTTTGGAGTGAGGACTTCTGAATTAGGGATGCTCAGCCAGTAAAGTCTATGCAAATATCCCCAAATTTGTAAAATTCCAATATCTAAAATACTCCAGTCCCAAGGATTTGGGATGAGGGATACTTAACCTGTGCTCCCTTTCCCCGACTGCCTTCTCACTTTGTCTTTGCAGCCAACACCATATCAGGGATGCTCTGGCTCCCCTTCTGGGCTCCTTGTCTTCTCTACCTCCTCACATCAGGGCACCTTGAGGCTCCTTCCTTGGTCCTCTGCTCCTCTACATCACATTTGCTTTCAGGGTGAATTCAAACAGTCTTGGGGTCTAAGATAGAATTTCTTCCCTCTGGGGACTCTCAAATGTGCACCTCCAGCTCAGACCTCAAGCCCAGCTGGATTCCAGCTCCCTCTGCAACAGGACTGGCATTGCACTTAGGGTCTAGTGGGATCCGAAATTCAGCTTGTCCAAAACCACACTCCAGATCATTCCCCCCAAATTCCTCCTCTTCAGTCATTCCCATCCAGGTTGACGATATTTCCCACCCTCCCCTCCACCTCTCACCACCCCTACACCTTACACATCAGCAAATCTTATCAAGTCTACCTTGAAAAAATGTCCAGAATTTGATTAGCACCTCCAACTGCCCTCCGGACATTCTGATCTCTCCCACGTCCTGAAATACCCTCAGGAGCAATTTTCCTGTTTCTTCCCTTGCTTTACTATAGCATTTTCTTAAAACAGAAGACAGAGAGATGCCATCAAAGTGTAAGCTAGAGCGTGCAGCTCTTCTGTTCAAACTCTTCCAGCAGCTTCTCATTTCACTCAGATAAGAAAAGCTGAAGTCTTCACAGCTAGACAATTCGGATGGCTCCTGCCCCGCTGCCCTCCCCATCACCACCTATGAGCCTTTTGGCCTCGTCCTGCTCGCTCTGGCTCACTCCTCCCCAGCCACGCTGCCTCCCTGCTGTCTAGGGCTCCTGTGCTTGCTCATCTTCTACCTGGAGCTCTCTCCCCCAGATGCCCCTCCCCCATTACTCCTCGCTGATCTTCACTGTACTTTCCTTTACAAATCGCAAACGATGCCTGCTTACCACTTCTTATCTCCCTTGCCTGACTTGTCCTTCTCCATACCATTCACTTTATCATTTCTACTTATTTTGTCTTCCCCCCTTCGAGCATAAGCTCCGGGCCAACAGGGACTGGAAGTGCTTTGTACTCAGCAGAGGCTCAGTAAACCTCAATGAACGCACAGGAATCACGGTTTGCTTGGTTCCTCTTACCTAAGACAGTCATCACTGTCTTCATGAGCTTCATGGGTGTTCTCCGGCGGCTGATGGAGCCACTTACGTGGGGAGACAAGACGTTGGTCTTCCTCTTGACGTACATGTAGATCCGCAGGTACACCACAACCATGATGAAGAACGCCACGAGGTTAGACACAGTCCAGAAAATGAGGTAACTCCTGCTGTAAATCGGGGCCAGGGATGAGCAGGTAGAGATGTCACAGAGACAATTCCAGCCCAGCGTGGGGACTGCTCCCATGAAGATGGCGATGGCCCAGACAAGCAAAATGAGCAGCGTCACCCTCTTCTTGGTCAGGTTGCTGTGGATCCGCATCCTCATGATTGACATGTGCCTCTCCACAGCAATAACCAGCAGATTGGTCAGGGAGGCAGTCAAGCTAGAGTCCAGAAGCCCCTGGCGGAGAAACCAGCGGTTGACAGTCAACGTTTTTGAAACTGGGCCCGTATTAAACATCAGGAAGACGTAGGCGATTCCAGCAAAGAAATCTGCAGCAGCTAAGTTGGCCAACAGGTAGTAGAATGGGAAATGAAACTTTCTGTTTTTGATCACAGCTGCGATGACCAGAGAATTAGAAAAAAAAATAAACAGGCAGAAAAATGTTCCAACACACAAAACGATCAAAAGCTTGGTTCCTGTCCACTCATCAGCAGTGTCAGTGTTGCTCCTATTATAAAAAAAGTCCATCCGCTTATCATAATGGCACTCATTCATCGTGGTGAAGAATTGAACATCCTAGAAAGAAATTTAAAGAAGAAACAAACATCACTCTTTGCAGAATCAGTCGCTAAACCACCAACTGCTAAGCCCCTTCTTCAGGCTAACTCCTAGTAGCCCTTCAGGCCTCAGAGTACAGGTCCCTTGCTCAGGGACCCTCGCCTGACTTCCTACCACAGTGCGCAGCTTGTGCTCCATTTGTTCTGCAAGCTAGGCAGCAAGCTCAGCAAAGAAGGCTCTGTCTTGTTCATCATTCTGACCCCAGAAGCAAGCTGCCTGCTTGTCTCATGACAGGTAAGTCGCTGACTAAGTGGATGAATTACCATGGAGGTGTCAACAGGGCAAACGGACTGAGCCTGTAACACCCACTCGACATCGATAATGCTTATAAGAACAGAGCACATTGTGCTGTTCCCTGGTGGTTTGCAGTTAATTTCTTTTTTTATGGATTATGTTCATTAATCAAGGGCAGGTTGGTAATTCTGGCCAATAATGGGGATTGAAATATTCTTCACATGACCAGATAGTTTCCCCAAGAGCTCAATTTCCCACCACTACTGAGACTCCTTTTACCATCGTTTGCTTTCAAGCTGTGATTACAACATTCTCCTCTTAAGCACATGATACAGGGAGGAACCATTGCTCTCAACACCTCTTCCTAACCTTTGCATTTACGTCTTCCTTATCATCTCCTAATCCAAACTGTACCACTGAGAATTTGTTGAAGGAATTTTCCAATTCACTAACTTCAAGTCAGTCTCCTTCTCTGGCACTTTTTGTTGTTGTTGCAAAAATATTTTTTTAAACTTTTATTTAATAAATATAAATTTCCAAAGTACAGCTTTTGGATTACAGTGGATTCCCCCCCCCATAACTTCCCTCCCACCCACAACCCTCCCATCTCCCACTCCCTCTCCCATTCCATTCGCATCAAGATTCATTTTCAATTATCTTTATATACAGAAGATTGATTTAGTATATATTAAGTAAAAATTTCAACAGTTTGCACCCACACAGAAACACAAAGTGTAAAGTTTGAGTACTAGTTATAGCATTAATTCACATTGGACAACACATTAAGGACAAAGATCCTACATGGAGAGTAAGTGCACAGTGACTCCTGTTGTTGACTTAACAATTGACACTCTTGTTTATGGCATCAGTAATCACCCTAGGCTCTTGTCATGAGTTGCCAAAGCTATGGAAGCCTTTTGAGTTCGTCGACTCCGATCTGATTTAGACAAGGTCATTGTCAAAGTGGAAGTTCTCTTCTCCCTTCAGAGAAAGGTACCTCCTTCTTTGATGGCCCATTCTTTCTACTGGGATCTGACTTGCAGAGATCTTTCATTTAGTTTTTTTTTTTTTTTTTTTTCTTGCCAGAGTGTCTTGGCTTTCCATGCCTAAAATACTCTCATGGGCTCTTCAGTCAGATCCGAATGCCGTAAGGGCTGATTCTGAGGCCAGAGTGCTGTTTAGGGCATCTGCCATTCTATGAATCTGCTGTGTATCCTGCTTCCCATGTTGGATGGTTCTCTCCCTTTTTTATTCTATCAGTTAGTATTAGCAGACACTATTCTTGTATATGTGATCCTCTTTGGTTCTTAGTCCTATTATTGTGATCAATTGTGAACAGAAATTGATCACTTGGACTGGTGAGATGGCATTGGTACATGCCACCTTGATGGGATTGAATTGGAATCCCCTGGCACATTTCTAACTCTACCATTTGGGGCAAGTCAGCCTGAGCATGTCCCAAACTGTACATCTCCTCCCTCTCTTATTCCCACTCTTATATTTAACAGGGATCACTTTTCAGTTAAATTTAAACACCTAAGAATAATTGTGTGTTAATTACAGAGTTTGACCAATAGTATTAAGTAGAACAAAAAAAATACTAAAAGGAAATGAAATGGACACTATGAGAAAGAGTGACTTGATCGGCCCTTGTCCTGACTGTTGATGTCCCATCTTTTAAGTGGGTTGTTTGTTTTGTTCTTGTGGAGTTTCTTTATCTCTTTGTAGATTCTGGTTATTAATCCTTTATCTGTTGCATAGTTTGCAAATATTTTTTCCCATTCTGTCGGTTGTTTCCATGGCACTTTCTACATGGCCGCTGGTAGAGGATCACGGCTCCATGGGCACTGAGATCTGCAGGTTAGCAGATGTCCAACCTAATGTGGGCATCAGGATAGACCTGCCGAGTGATGACAAATCTTTGGGTCACATGTCTGAAATGAAACCCCAAGCTGAAGAAACGGGCAGACAGGGGAGATACTAATCTTCTCACTGCAAGATCTCTTGGACTTGAAAGGTGAGGAACTCTGGCTGAGGAGGGGCTGGGCAGGATGTTCTACCTCACAGTGAGATGGCCACACCCATGAAGATCTCTACAAAGGATCTCAGGCTCTAGCACTAGGAGTCTAACTTTCAGTAGAATAGATTATGGACTCCTCAACAAAGAATGAAGTTGCAGCTTATTTGCAGGGAAACCAGAGACCCAGTATGCCCAGGAGCTGAGACGTCCACTGGTGGGAATTAAGTGGCTCTCACAGTAAAAGCCTGGTAGTAATCGCCAGCTTTTAAAGTTCTTGCAAGTTCTGAAATCCAAAACCACATCCGCTTCAGATCATACTTTTAAGTAGTACAAAACAGAAGTGTACCTGAGACAGAGTTCTTTTTCATTTATATTTTAGTAGTGTAATGCTACTTTTAAATGAATTAGCCACTTACTTCTCTGCCACAGCAAATGGGACGTAAAATATCATTGTGTATGTTTAAAATAAACAAGCTGGGAGTGGTGGCAAGAGACAAACCATCCCAGTGCCTTTTAATCACAGGAAGAGGGGACTCAGTATTTTTATTATTTTCACTTTATTTGAACGGCAAAGAGATCTTCCATTCACTGGTTCATTTCTCAAGAGCCTGCAACAGCCAGGGCTGGGTCAGGCCAAACCTAGGAGCCCAGAACTCCATCCAGGTCTTCCACGTGGGAGGCAGGGACACAAGTATTTGGCCATCACCTTTTCCCAGCCAACAGAAATGTGAGCAATGAAACCCTGTTGTTTATAAACTAACCAAGTCTCAGCATCCTTGTTACAGCAGCAGGAGCTAAGAGATCATTTGAAAAGTTTTATGGTTCAATTATTGTGTGTCCTTTCACTAAATATAATGTATTTTCTTTTGTTACATGCTCTAGATAGGTAATAGGAACACATTCTTAATTTATGACTTGTGTTATCCTTGGTTAATTTATTAGAAATATCAAAGTTTTTTTTTAAAGATTTATTTATTTATTTGAAAGGCAGAGTTACACAAAGGGAGAGAGCTTGTCAGGGCTGCTTTGTGGTGTAGCAGATAAAGCTGCTGCCAGAGATGCCGGCATCCCACATGGGTGCCAGTTCAAGTCCTGGCTGCTCCACTTCCAATCCAGCTCCCTACTAATGTGCCTGGGAAAAGCAGAAGATGGCTTGGACCCAGCCACCCAAGTAGGAGACCTAGAAGAAACTCCTGGCTCCTGGCTTCAACCTGGCTCTTCCCTCTTATTGCAGCCACTTGGGAAGTGAAACCAGCAGATAGAAGACCTCTCTCTGTAATTGACTTTCTTTTCTTTTCTTTTTTCTTTTTTTTTTTTTTTTTTGACAGGCAGAGTGGACAGTGAGAGAGAGAGAGAGAGAGAGAAAGGTCTTCTTGGCCGTTGGTTCACTTTCCAATGGCCACTGCGGCTGGCGCACTGCGGCCAGCGCACGGCGCTGATCCGAAGCCAGGAGCCAGGTGTCTCTCCTGGGCTCCCATGTGGGTTCAGGGCCCAAAGACCTGGGCCATCCTCCACTGCACGCCCGGGCCATAGCAGAGAGCTGGACTGGAAGAGGGGCAACCGGGACAGAATCCGGTGCCCCAACGGGACCAGAACCCGGGGTGCCAGCACCGCAGGCGGAGGATTAGCCTGTTGAGCCGTGGCGCAGGCCTGTAATTGACTTTCAAACAAATACATCTTTTTGAAAAATAAAAAAGATTACTACGTCACAAAGATGTGAGAATTAAGATACTACAAAAAAAAAAAAACCTTGAAATTTTTTCCAATTTTCTTTTGAAGGGATTTTATCTTTTTAGTTTTGGTTCTTACATTTGGTAGAATTTATAATCATATGATACACTAAAACCTCAATGATTTTTACTGCAAAAATCTTCAAATTCAGCTTGTCCCCATCAAAACCAAAATGACACATCCTTATTCATGCTTCAGCAAACAGCATCCTGAGACTGAGCAGTGATTTTTGTTCCACAAAATCGTGATATCTCAGTAAAACTGTGATTCAGCCACAAAGCAGCTCCCTCCTGAACCCCTGGACCCAGATTCTACTTTTGAGCAAAACCAGCAATAAGAGCAAAAAAGTTCATAGGGATGTAATAAAAAGGTTCCTTCAGGATGAAATATTATACAGCAAGTGCAAAGCATGTTTACCATGAAGATGTGGGGAGACAAGAAAAAGCACACATCAGTAGAATGTGGCCGATCTGAAGCCAGGAGCCCGGAGCTTCATCCAGGTCTCCCATGCGGTTGCAGGGGCCCAAGTACCCGGACAATCCCCCACTGCTTTCCCCGGCCACAGCAGAGAGCCGGATCGGAAGAGAAGCATCAGCCAGGACTCGAACTAGAGCCCACATGGGACGCCGTCACTGCAGGCAGCGGCTTTACCCGCTATGCCGCAGCGTCGGCCCCAACAAATCTTGAGCAAGCTTGTAACAAATGACTAGTTTATCATCCCTTGGCCCTCTCTCAAACCTTAAAACCTGACTCTGTGATTTCAGACAAATTATTTCTTCAGTCCTAGCCTAAACACCCCTTCCACGACGACATCGTCCCTGACCGATTCGAAGCAGCCCCACAGCGCTCATTCCCAGAGTGCCCTGTAGCATCTTCAGAGAGCCAGCCGGTGGCTCAGTCACCCCCGGGGACTCGAGTTTGTGCTTATGTATTTATCGTCCCCCTCCCGGCACTAGACCATTCCGCTCCAGCA